TTTAGTTTACTTCACTGTGTCTAATCCTGCCTCTGGCCATGTGGTTCTACGCTCTTAAGACATGAACACCAGTGATTAAGGTGATTAAACGCCCCAGAAAATTCTGCACTTCCTAGAGCACTGATTTGGTTTACCGAGGGATCTGCTGAGTATCAGAAATAGCAAAGTAAAGGGGAGAAATGTGCAATTAAATGCACCAAGTGAGTGTTTTTTGGAAAGTGGGAAAGGACCAAGTGATTGGAAGCCATATAAAGAAAAGAAACAGGTGAATGTGTGATAGGAGATTAGGAATAATAGGGAAAATTAGTACAGTAACAAATGATAGGTAGAAAAATAAGAAAAAAAGAATGAAAAGATCAATGAGAAGCAAAAGGAGATAATGTAACTGTATTTTCAACAGGGACAAAATCTACTGCATAAATAGCTTGAAATATATTTGATACCATTTTGTTGTTTTTTTTATATAAGCAATTAATCAGTTGCCATTGTGAAGTTATGTGAAAGAAAAGATTAAATGATAAAAGCATCCACATGGTGAGAAATTGGGGCCTTGCTCTGAACTGCAACAGCAAACTCCAAGTGAAACTAATGTAAATAGTATTGCTTACCTATTTGGTACATCATAAGACTTACTGTTTCCAGCTGGAAATACCCTGTTGCTGACATGTTAGTGTTTTGTCAAATTAATTGAGTAATTTATCAAATTCAGACAAGCGCAGTTGTCGCTGAATTTTTAAAGTTAATGGGCTGACTTCTTATTAAACAGATACTGAGATTAAAGTTAGGTGAGAAACTTGATTAATCTGAGTTTTAGCTAGCTCTTTTTTCATCACTCTAACTACTGTAAGAGTGGGATGTAAGCTTTATTGATATTCACCCCTTTCTGCACCTGGGACTGCTGTTAGAAAATCTAATATTGTAAACAGATGACATATGAGGTAGATCAAAGAACTTGGATCCTATTTCCCAAGATTCCTAATGAGAATGAAGTGCCAGCTGCATTCCAAATCTCAGCTCAGTTGACTGATAAAAAGTTTTATTTGATGTTCAAATTAGGAGACTCTGCTCCCTTTTGAGGAGGGTTTAACTAGCTAACTCA